TCTGAAAAGAGCGGGAAAAGCAACTAGATTGACTGCTAGACCCCTGCTCTGCTCAACTCCCATCTTTTCTGAGAGATTTTCGGCACCGCAGACTTCCCCACCTTGTGTGCCTCAGGAGGAGACGCCAGAGAGCAGGGGGGCCCATGACCGGAGAGGTGTACAGTAGCTGGAACAAAAGGAGCCTTGTGTGAAGACTTGGCAGTGATTAGATATGCTTGGAAGAGTGGGCTTTATGGTATTTTTCTATTTCGGGCTGTGTGCTGGTAATAGTTCATAGTAAAAAACAAAAAATGAAACCATAAAACCAGTTGTATTAAAAGAAATAATAAAAAAACTTAAAGGAAATCAGGCATTTCCATCAAAAAGCTTTATGAATGAGGATTCCATTGGGCCAGTGCTAACATAGAATGATAGTTCTTAGAGTAATAACCTGAGATCCCAAAGATCTTTATTGATACATACTGTGAACAGAAGGAGAGCCCAACCAAACAGTCAAAAAACCCTGCCCTGCTATGGTTGAAATGTGGTTTCAAATAGTTTGGAAATCATTAAGCCCCCTCACAAAGTCTACCAAATTGTCATTGCTACAGCATGATTGGTAATTTTGTCTTTTATAACTTTGTAGTGGTATGACTACAATGGGTAGAATTATCTGCCCTTTATTGATTGTATAGAGCAATGACAATGCTATCTGGTCTTGTCTTTGACTTTCTATGTGAAATTTTTTTTAATGCACTGAGACAAAACTGAACATGACCTAATAATTAGACACGTTCTTCCAAGTCTCATAGGTGAATTGCAAAAGGCAAAACAATACTCAATGATAGTGATTTGTTAATTTAAAATGCTCATCAATTGGTTAGAAAACATTGATATGTTAACACACCTGTGACCAAATGTCTACTCTATTTGGCAAACAATTTCTTTTGAATCACTTTCCTTACTGCACTTTTAACATCTTTGTTTGAAAGCTATAGATCAAAGGATTTAACATGGGACTCACAAAGATATAAAAAACAGCTACAATTTTCCCCTGTTCTACAGATGCCTCAGAAGGGGGCCTTAGGTACATGCAGAATAGAGTCCCATAAAAGACAGTGACAGCTGTCAGATGGGACCCGCAGGTGGAGAAGGCCTTGTGCCTCCCCTCTGCTGAGCGGATGCGCAGGATGGCTGAGGAGATGAAGATGTAGGAGATGAGGATGATGGTGAGAGAACAGGTGAGGTTTGCACCAGCCACCACGAACATGGCGGTCTCTTTGACGTAAGTGTCTGAGCAGGCCAGGACCATGAGAGGTGGGTCTGCACAGTAAAAGTGGTTGATTGCGTTGGGTCCACAGAAGGAGAGGCGGAGCAGCAGGATGGTCTGTGCCAGACCATTTGCAAACCCATAAAAGTAATTAGCAGCAACGAGAGAGAGGCAGACGCGTCGGGACATCTTGCTGCCATACGACAAGGGTTTGCAGATGGCCATGTAGCGGTCATAAGCCATCACTGCGAGCATGTAATAATCTGTGATCACCAGGGCAATGAAAAAGTGGAACTGTATAAAGCAGCCAAGCAAGGAAATGGTTCTTCTCTTGGACAAGAGATTGACCAGCATCTGAGGAGTGACGTTGGTGGCGTAACAGAGATCTACAAAGGAGAGGTGACTGACGAAGAAGTACATCGGCGTGTGAAGTTTCGAGTCAGCTCTGATTAAGAAAATCATGCTCACGTTGCCGGTTACCGTGATGAGGTAGACGACTAGGAACACCGCAAAAAGGCCAGGCTGCAGCTCCGCCCGATCTGTCAGTCCCAGGAGAATAAACTCAGTCACCGCTGTGCAGTTTGTCCTTAGCATTGTGTTTGCTCAGCTTCCAACGAGGTCTAAAGTAAAGGAAGTAAAAATGCATTTGTCCTCGGTCACTTTTCCATTACCCACATGTCGTCGGATGCTTACTCCCCCTCTCTCCAACCTGTAAATGCACGTAACACAAGGAGATAGCATAGCAAGCATGAGATTGATGTTTCAAGTGTCTAAATTAATATACAGTTCTTTATGTAAAGGGAGTCACATTTTCAAATGCTTTTCTGAAAGATTTTTCATACTTGAAAAGCCTTTAACTTTTCTACAAATAATGATCATAAATTGTTTACTTTCATTTCCCCTAAACATTACTTTTCTTTGAAATTACAGTCCTTTGTTCTCAATGTATCTTTTTTATTTTTATTTTTTATTGAAGTATGGTTGATTTACAATGTTGTGTTAATTTCTGGTGTACAATATAGTGATTCCATTATATATATATATTTATATATACATATATTACTTTTATTTTTCATATTTTTCCCTATAGGCTATTACAAGGTATTGATTATTATTCCCTGTACTATCAATATATCTTTTGATGTGGTATCTAAAGCATCAGTCATTGAAGTTCACATGTTTTCACAGCTACATGGACTTAAGGAGGTGACACTGACAAATGACACAGATACTTACAGAACAAGAATCTGTCTACCTGCCCTTCTAAACTCAAGATCATTTTCGTGCTGGTCCCTCACCCTGCAATGCATGTCCATTTCCCCTGCTCTTTCTATATCAAGTGGCCAACATATCACCAAATCTTATTTAACTTTTAAGACTCAGCTCAGGATATCCATGGCTTCGTAAAATACAGCTAATTACTGGGGTCATGAGTGTGTTCATGGGGCACAGAAGTAAATCAATGTTCTTTGTGTAAAAACAGATAAGCATGCAGTACATAAACAATATTTGTATTTGTGTGTGCATGTGTGTGCATATATATGCATATGTATATATACATATATATACACACATACATATGTCAGTTTTACTAAATAGTCAAAGAGGGAGTGATTTGGGTAAAAATATAATGTATT